CTCGTTCAGGATCCGAAAATACAATTTAAATATTATTGCACTTATTCCACTTATTCCTAGTGTGCCACTGGTTACGGTGCCAATGCTGGCAAGCGTGCCACGGGTTGCCGACCCCTGTTCTAATGTTACTGCAGATCTGCTGTAAGCTAGCTAGCTAACGTAGCTAACCTAGTCATTTCCGATAGCCAATTCTGACAAACACTTACAGTTATGAGACAGACTAACTCTGCGACAGTTGTCCAGCTTTATAAACCTGAAGGTCACAAAAGTGCTCCGATCCCAGCTGTGTGCGTCACTCTTTAGTGTCCCCTGGTCTCCCAGCTGTGTGCGTCACTCTTTAGTGTCCCCTGGTCTCCCAGCTGTGTGCGTCACTCTTTAGTGTCCCCTGGTCTCCAGCTGTGTGCGTCACTCTTTAGTGTCCCCTGGTCTCCCAGCTGTGTGCGTCACTCTTTAGTGTCCCCTGGTCTCCCAGCTGTGTGCGTCACTCTTTAGTGTCCCCTGGTCTCCCAGCTGTGTGCGTCACTCTTTAGTGTCCCCTGGTCTCCAGCTGTGTGCGTCACTCTTTAGTGTCCCCTGGTCTCCGTTGTGTTTTGAGCTTCTTGCAGCGTTTTGTATTTGCAGCGTTTGGTTTCTGCAGCTTTTAGTAAACGCTGTGCATGTCTCCTCAAGTTGCTGAATGTTCTCTAAATGCTGCATGTGTTGTCAAGTTGCTGAAGATGTTTCTTCATCAGGAACATTTGGGTTTTTATATCTGCATCCGTTCTGAAGCTGCAGTGTGTTGGCACCTGTTGGCCACCGTACAACTCCCCCAAAAACCCTAAATAATTTAAAGTGGACATCGAATATTAAAACGTCTTGTGATCACAGCAGGCTTTGCATAGTTAACTTTTTTTTCCCAAACGTTACTTTATTGTGTTAACAGGAGGAGCGAGAATAAACTAAGTGTGCTATCATTAGCTACACCAAGCTAACAGTCAGTCCTGTAATAAATCCATCTTTTTGAAGTTTGTCATTTTTATTAGTAACTTCATGACCATTTTAGAGGCTTCATTTTGTTGAAGTAAAAGGGGTCTCTATCATACAGAAATATAATCCTAATGAAGGATGTCCTGCAGGATGCTTCTATTAGCATTAGCTTTAGCTTGGTGCACCTATTGATCAAAGTGGACATCGAGCAAATCAGCTTTTAAATTTAATAAATGTAACACCATATTTTTATCATGTCAGTGTGTGTATATCAACACAACTTTTCCCTCTCTCTCTCTGTGTTAATTATCTCCAATATCACTCAAATGATTTAAATAAATAAAATAGAAACGTCTTAATCATAATGTACAGAGTGAGAATAACACCACACAGCCGTGTTGGGATTTCATCCTAAACAGGTGCTTTTAGCAGTTTTAAAATGTGTTAAATTCACTTAATAAAAAGCAAGTGAAACAGCTGAGTTTGTGCAGGAAAATACCATTAAAAAAAAAAGATAAAAAATGCTAAATAATATAAAAGAACATCTTAACAAATCTGCAAAATTAAGCAAAATCGACCTGGACTTATTGGGGTTGAAATGGCTCTTAGTATGTAGTTTAATTATATTTAAAAATAAAAAAACGATCATTGTTTTCCTGTGGTTTCGTGGGGACTATTTTCAGTGGCGGATGGATCCACATTTGCAGTTCTTGTATTAATTGCAACAAAAGAAGAAGAAAGATATCCCCTGCGATATATTTTAACATATTTTAAAGTTATATAACTTTATAAGGTCCTTTAAATGTGTCCAACACAAAGAAGAGGCGTGATTAAACAGAGGACAATATGTACATCACTTAAACTGGTAGCTTAAAAAGAAAAGAGTTTCACATTTTAAGATAAAAACATAACAAAAAATAAAATAAAATGTTCGTTCACAGTAGTTTTACTCCACGTCTATGAAGACATCCAGTGCTCAAAGTCTCTGCTTCACCTTAATAAATGAACATGCATACAAAACATTTTAAAAATGTACAGTCATTATTTTAAAAAATGGCAAAAAGTGTATATTTATTATAGTTATTATTCTCTAAAAACATTGTTGCTCCTCTTCCCTTCGTCGCCTCGTCAAAAATAAAACCCTCACAAGTTTAAATTAAATAATGTCTGCATGTTTGTGCACGTCCTCGAATCGGGACGCCGTTCATCTTGCATATTTCTACACTTCACCTTCAGTCAAAAGTGTTAGGATTAAATATAAATTAGATTTATATACTTATATATACTGTGTTACATTTATCTACATACTTTGATGTTCCTGTGGGAAAATATATATACTTTCTCGCCGGTCGTTTGTTGGAGAATCCGTCGTTTGTTTGTGTTTATTAAGGGAGGTCGTCACTCCCTGCTTCTGTAGAATCTAAAATGCATTCGTAAAAATAAGTTTAAATTGTAATTCCTTTTTGTGTTGGGGCTCTGTTGCTTTGTTAAAGTGCTGCTTGTCTTCAGAGCGAGGTCACATCACGGGATGATTCTTCGTTTTTATATGAAATCTTTAACCTTCTGCGTGATAACGTTATGAATTTAAATTAAATCACAACAGATGGACAGGTGGAACATTATTATGATGGATTTAGTGATTAAATAGTGAATTCTCAGACAGGATGCAACGAGGGTTTGGTGAACGGTGTTTCTGCTGATAAAGTTATTCAAATGTCCGCTGAGTTTGTTTATCGGAGCATCTCTCGGTTTATTCTGTGTATTTATGTTCATGTAGTCATGTGTGAATATGTCTTCTGTCGTGTACTGTGTAGTGTTCATGATTTGGGTCCAACACATATTTCCTTACGAGGAAAATGAAGTGTTTCGAATCATATTGTTATGTATTGTATCAAATAGTAACTTATCGAATAGTAACTTATCGAATAGTAACGTATCGAATAGTAACTTATCGAATAGTAACTTATCGAATAGTAACATATCGAATATTAACTTATCGAATAGTCACTTATCGAATAGTAACTTATCGAATAGTAACATATCGAATATTAACTTATCGAATAGTAACATATCGAATATTAACGTATCGAATAGTAACTTATCGAATATTAACTTATCGAATAGTAACTTATCGAATAGTAACTTATCGAATAGTAACATATCGAATATTAACGTATCGAATAGTAACTTATCGAATAGTAACTTATCGAATAGTAACTTATTGAATAGTAACGTATCGAATATTAACGTATCGAATAGTAACATATTCGAATAGTAACATATCGAATATTAACTTATCGAATAGTAACATATCGAATATTAACTTATCGAATAGTAACTTATCGAATATTAACTTATCGAATAATAACTTATCGAATAGTAAAATATCGAATAGTAACTTATCGAATAGTAACTTATCGAATAGTAACTTATCGAATAGTAACATATCGAATATTAACTTATCGAATAGTAACATATCGAATATTAACTTATCGAATAGTAACTTATCGAATATTAACTTATCGAATAGTAACATATCGAATATTAACTTATCGAATAGTAACTTATCGAATAGTAACATATCGAATATTAACTTATCGAATAGTAACTTATCGAATAGTAACTTATCGAATAGTAACGTATCGAATAGTAACATATCGAATAGTAACTTATCGAATATTAACGTATTGAATAGTAACATATCGAAAATGGTAACTTATCGAACAGTAACATATCAAATATTAACGTATTGAATGGTAACGTATCGAATATTAACTTATCGAATAGTAACTTATCGAATATTAACGTATTGAATGGTAACGTATCGAATATTAACATATTGAATAGTAACGTATCGGATAGTATCGAAAAGTATCGTATCGATTAGTAACGGATTGTATGGAATAGTAACGTATGGAATAGTAACGCATCGTAACGTTTTGTAATGTATCGAATAGTAACGTGTCGTAACGTATCTTAACGTATCTTAACGTAATCTATCTTCTGGAAAAGGTTTTGTCAATTTAAATCACGCTTGTTTGACCCCCCATGATAATGTTATGAGTCAAAATGAAATCTCTCGAGTCTGTGCAATTACAGTACAGGTGCAACGTTATTACGATGGATTTAGTGATTAAATAGTACCAAATAAATCAAGCTAACTGTGCGCAGACAGGATGCAACATGTAAAAACATCTAATTTCCCCTCAGGGATAAATAAATGGGTATCTTAACGTCAATGAGGATTGAGCTTATGACGTTGAATATTCAAATGCTCCATTAGTTTGGTTTTCGGATCGGAGAGTTAGTCCCGGTTTATTCCCGCTTCTGGAAAAAGTTTGTACATTTAAACCCCATGAGTCTGACCTATGAGTCAAACTGAAATCCCATGAGTGTGTGCAATTTCAGTAAGGATGCAACGTTATTAGCTGTCCAGTTTTCCATTGGCTGATGGCTTCGATGGTATGGTCTCAGAGGTGGTATGAAGAAGCTTCTGAGTGATTCCTGACGTCTGAATTTGGTTTCTACGTGATCAGAAATGTATGATTTGACAACAAAATCATTCATCGATGGGATACTATGGCGAAAAAAGGTATTCCCAAACCATCGATGGAGGCCTTTTCAGTACAGGTGCGACATTACGATGATGAATTCATTGATTGTGCTCAGACAGGATTAAACATGAGGGTCTGGTGAAAGTGATTCAGCTGATAAAGTCGAGTATATAAATGTTCCATTAGTTTGGTTATCAGAGCGACTCTGAGTTTATTCTGTCTTCTGGATTAAAAGTTTATACATTTAGATCCCACCCGTTACTCCTCGCTGACCCCAGTTTCCCACGCCACCTTCGCCTGCTCCTCTTTCGTTGCAGCGATGATCGGCTGGGAGATTTTTCTCGGCATGGGGCGAGGCATCGGTGTTTGGGTGTCTTCTTCAGGGATGCACCCCTCTCTGAGGTAGGGCTTAGGGGGCAGGGCGGGGGGCTCGTGATGGAGGTGGTAGAGTGGTGGAAGATGGGGGATGTAGTGATGATAATAGTGAATATTCTGGAGGTCTTGTTGGATGTTTCCTCCCACAACTTCGGATTCTGAGCCACTGAATCGGATGGGTTGGTAGTCCAGGTCCTCGGGGTCCACGGCGCTAATGGGGGCTGAATCCAGGGGGCCGATAGGGGGGTCACAGGAGGAGGACGGGGGGCCGAAGTTACTCTCGCTGAGGGAGGAGACCCCTGAGCTGGCGCTGCCCGACAGAGTGGAGCTACTGCCATCCAGGACGGACTGAGGACTGGTGGGCGAGGCAGGTATAGGGTGAAGGGGAGACTGGAGAGAGAGAGAACAGCACAAATACTTTATTATTATTGTTATTAGGAGGATCACTTCATTCAAGCACGATGGCAGGATTTAGTAGATTAAATGTGTAGAATGGAGAAAATGAACGTGAGAATCAGAAACCAGTTCATATCTTCGATGAAAGATGGGATAATTAATAAGTTATAAAACACAAAACATGGCACGTGTGTTTTTATTTGCATGTTTTTTGAAACTGCAGTGCGTTTCTCTTAATACTGACACCCTTTAAAGTGTCTCTGAAAATGAAAATAAATGTGCAAACTGTTGCTTAGAATAAACAGTAGTGATATAAAGTGGTGAATGTATACGTTATCAAAACAGATTTTGCAGTTGCTAGTATGTGTTTCTGCGTGATAGGAATTAATGATCATATTCATATCCATGGGGAGGATAGAAAAGAAGCACAAAAGACTGGACAGAAAAACATCAGAAAATAGGAGGAAACCCAGAAAACACAGACGGGAAAGCAGACGGTAAAATAAAGGAGAAGAATATCATATTTCTTTGTTTCAGAAACTGCAATCTGAAAGCTCTCAGATTATTTTAAAGTCAACGTTGATATATTGAACTGTGAGCTGTGAGCATTAAACAGAAACTCAGAGGGACATGCTGGACTTGAAACAGCACACGGTGACAGTGTGTTTGTTTTCCAGTTTGGCTGATCAGGGATCAGCATCCAAAACCTGACCAAAAGAAAAAAAACATTTCTTGCAACCTGAAATGGAAACAAAGAAATGCACTCAAATAGTAACGTTTCTTTGGGGGTTGCAGACTAACAGACAGACATTCATCCAGACCAACAGCAGGAGTGAAGGGGAGGAGGAGGAGGAGGAGGAGGAGAGGGAGAGGAGGAAGAGGAGGGTACCTTTCTTAAGGATCGCGCAGGGAGAGCTGGAGGAAGGTCGCTGACCTGGTGGTGGAAAGCGTCAAAGTGCATCGACAGGTGTTGCCCTACAGGGGGAGACACAGCAGGACTGACTGAGAGACAACCTCAAACCAGAGAAGAAGAAGAAGAGGAGGAAGAGGAGGAAGAGTAATGGGTTGCGTTCGAATTGTGAGTGAAACTATTCTGAAGTACCTTGTGATGAGAGCTGTTTGAATTCATTAAAGTGTCTATGAAAATGAGATCAAATGAGCAGTAGTAGCAGTCGTTATATAATCATTTTTGGTTTCATTACGCGTTTGCATTTGTCGGCCACCGTAGATTTAATCAAACAATGAACTGCTGCTAAATCCAAGCAGCTCATAAACATTACGGCCCGTCTACACTACACGCATCAAAAAATCTTGAAGCTGGGCGTGTCTGAAGCTTGGCGATTTTTTGCGAGCAACGCGACCAACAACCAATCACATGAATCTCCCGCCCCCGACATACAAAGCAATAGCAATGTTAAAACGAAGTAAACTGGATATAAACTCTCCAAACAGGCGAAAACCTACCAGTTTCACCCACTGTCTCTGCCACCTCCCTCCATGCCTGGTTCCTCCGGTTTGTATCCCGGTAAATAGTTCTGGTCGTAAAGAACCGGGTGATTTGCTACCGTAATTTCTCGTTTGGAATATGAGGAAATGAACTGCGGTCTGGCTCTCCCAGCTTGCACGCGGTTTGATTGGCTAGCGCTTGCACT